TTAAAAATTAATCGATTTTTAAATTATTTAACATTGATCATATTTCATGAACAAAAGTCCTCAATAACTATTACCAAAAAGGGTAACAAAAAATTTAATTTTCTTTTCCAAAAACAATATATATAACATATACTATTTTCAATAGTTTATATATTATCTATCAAAGTGATTTTTTGACTATACCATTTTTTTCAATAAGCATAATATAACATATAAATAAAATATGATAAATTCAGTATCTGTCATTAAAAACTTATTTAGATCAAATGAGCACATATTTATACTTTCAAATATAAATTATAGTCAAGGAAAAATTAGCAAAAGGGAAACGTGTTTAAACAGTTTCGTGTCAGTAAAAAACACATATTTTTGATTATTTTTAATATAAACTATTGATTAAATCTTGAAGTTTATATTTTAGATATTTCAACTGTAATTTTTTAAAATATACTTCAGAATTATAAAAATAATATATAAATTCTATATTAATTTATCCATTCATTTATAGTAGTAATCAAATTTATTTATGCGACATATATTACAAGAATGGCATAAATAAGCAACGAATATTAAATATTATTTATATAAAGTTATATATATATATATATATATATATTATATATGATGCTATATGTCGCATATATTTTTTATAGTTAAAATCATAAAACCTAGCAATGAAAAATATTACACGTAAAATAATAAACTACGTACTAAAATTGTGTTTATAACTTCTTTGTGGAGTCACCGTCACCATCACCATCACCATCACCATCACCATCCCCATCCTCATCTTCGCCCCATTCTTTTATTAAATTTTTTACGTTATCCTCAGATTTTTCTTTATTTTTCTCAATATTTTTGATTTTCTCATCTGTTGATGAAGTCTTTGTAGCAGTTTCTTCCTCAATTGAACTCTTTGCTTCAGATGGTTCTACTTTAATATTAGCTGCTTCGCATTCTACTTTCTCCGAATGTTTATCATCCTTTTCAGCACCTGTTGCTTGCGTTAGTAATTCATCAATTATTTGTACACCTGAAGCAATAGGAGAATCTGTGAATTCGTTATCTGCTTCGTCATTACCTAATTCTATTTCTTTTTCTGAACAATTTTGAAATTCATCAACTTTTTCAAAATCTGGTTCGATATCATCCTCAGATCGCAATACGTTTTCACCAGAATCTACTTCCTCAGTAATATCAGTTTTTTCTTCACTTTTGATTTCTTTATCATTTTCCACTTCAAATTTATTTCCATCATTTGCGTCTTCATTTTCTTCAACAACTTTTTCCTCTTCAACACATTCGGATGTAATACTTTCATTTGCATCGTCACTGTGCAAATTTTTCATAGCCAATTCAATATCATCGTCTTCTAATTTAACATCATTTTCTGACTTTACTTCAGCCGTACTATCTTTTTCTACTGCTTTTTCAGATAACAACTTATCATCGCAAGATTTTTCACTTGCAGAAACATCAATTTTTACTATTTTTTCAGTTGAATTATCGAATTCGGATTGAGACTCTGCTGCAGCAATCTCTTCTTCATCGTTTTCATCTTCTGACCAATCACCAGTAAGCTCCTTCAATTTCTTGCTAATATCGTCATCTGATTTATTATTTTTCTAAAAAATGGAGTATAAATATTTTTTAAAAGTTATATAATTATATGGTAAGTTTTTACCTCATTATTTTTATTATCTGTTACTTCCTCTGCTAATTCATGTTCTGAAATTAAGTTTTCCGCCCATTCTAGATTTTCAATTGATTCCTTGCTCTCATCTAGATTATTTGAAGAATTTCTTTTTATTTCTACTTCATCTTCTAATGGTGTTGCTGGCGAGCTAACACTCTGAGATCTCATTTCATTATAAATTTCACTATCGTCGTATTCGTCTTCTATTGACTCAATTTCAGCTTTTGGACTAGTATTGTCTTTTACTGGAATTGTTACAATATTTAAGCCTTCCGATATAGATCCTCTTTTACAACCTGTCTGACCCTTAACAATTAAAGCATTTTTATTTTTTTCCTGATTAAGTTGCGTTAAGATCTCTTTTCGTTGCTCTCTAGTTAATATCAATTCGCTGCCATCAGAAGCCACAAATTTGTGATCTACACTAGTAGCAATATTTTCTGAAGTTGATATGAGTTTGGAACCTATTGATGGTTTGTTTTTTAATGTTTTTTGCACATCTGTTGTGGAGTCCAATTTTAATAGTGTACCTGCGCTAGGTAAACTTATGTCAGAAATAATTTTAACTTTTGAACTGCCACTTTCCATTAATTGCTGGGATGATTCTTGCTCGGTATCTTTTAAAATATTTACTAACTCTTCATCAGAGTAATCAATAATACCATCATCAAGAGCCTGTTTTTTGTGATTAGTTTTCATGTGTGTATATAATTGCAATTCTTTAGCAAATATTTTATTGCAATATATACATTGCTGCTTATTTTCTTCATTATGATTTTCAATCATATGCTGATGCAATGCATCAGTATCTATAAATATTTCAGCGCACATACTACATTCCGGAAATTTGTAAATTGATGAATTTAAATTATGTTCCACTTGAATATGTAAATGTAATTCTTTCTCATGGGTAGAACGCCATCCACAATGCTCACATAACGCAGGATCAATTGATTCCTTATGGGTGTTTATCAAATGTCTACGGAATCCGCGATAAGAAGGAATACTTATAGGACGACCACTAACACCGCATCTCAAACAAAGCCACGGTCCTATAAATTTCAAAAAATTTAATAGTATTTTACACAAATATAAATAGTAATAGTAATCTTATATATTCATACCAGTTGTGTTTTCTGCTCCTAAAGCAAGCAATGCATGCATTGTTTTACTATCGATTCGACGTTTTTGCATACCAGAAACACTATTTGTTGTTTCTGTTTGCGCGGACGTTGATGTACGTTCACCAAAATCTTTCTTTTGCTGAGAAACGACGTTGTTTGGCGTTTGCTTAATTATTTTTGTTTCTTTCGTATTTCCTTGACTTGCAATTATTTGGGATTTTTGCTGTTGTTGCTGTGGATTATCCCCATCAGGAATGTTATCAATTTGTTCTTTTTTGATAATAACTTTTTGGAACCCACTAGGACCAGTTACAATTTTTAATTTTATACTCTTGTTTGATTTTGCCAAATGCGGAAACTGACGCATTACTTCTGATATAATTTTGGTTGTATTTAATTTATTACCAGAATTTTCTTTAACCACAATAGTTGGAATCTTGTCTCCATTATCTGTTTTAAAAGTATATGATGGTAATTCTTGCGTTTTTATAGCTGTTGTGGAAGAAGGAGTTGTATTTACTGCATCATCGTCGTCGTCATCGTTATGAATATCATCATCCATCATACCTTCATATTCATCATCACCAGCATACTCCGCGGCAATTTGTTTACGCATGCGCTGTTGTTCCGCAAATTCTTTTACATCTTCAATGTTTGGTTTTTTAGCAGGTGGAGATATGAAGCTTACAGAGCTTGCTCTTTTAGTGCTAACTCCTTTTCGTAGTTGTTCAAACGGCGAAGGTGGTTGTTGTGGTGGATTCGATAGATCATCTTCAATTTCACGTTTGATGTCATGTCCAATATGTATTTTTGTAGGTGAAGTTGAAAGAGTTGGTGTTCTAAGTAAAGTCGCGTTACCGCTCTGTTGGCGATATTGTGCGTTTTGTGCCTGTGGTGTACTTGTTGCAATAGTTCTTGGCTGTGCAACACGCCTTGATTGTAGTGTTGATGTATTGTTAGCGTTTACACGTTTTTGTGGTGGAGCAGCAATCTGTTGGTTGTTCACTGGTGTTCCACGACGACGAATGGATTTCGGACTTGGTGGCTAATGCAAATCGAACGAATCAAATGTTATAAAATTTTTATAATTTGCACTTACACTTACACTTACCCTTTGTGCACGATTTACACCTTCCATAGTACGTCGATGCGCTTCCAAAAGTTTAAGTAGCACCGTCATATTCATTTCTTTTGCTGTACGTAATAATTTTCCATACATCTTCAACTCAAACTCTAACGTTCCTGTGTACATAAAGTTCACAATAGGGACTACTACATCGGCTTGCAGTTCCAGGGGCATTATGAGCGCATCATCTATGACTTCGCACGTTTGTTCAAGAACATTAAAGTAGTCTGTGCAAGCGCTTAATACTAAACGATGTACTTTCAGTTGCGAGTTGTCGCGAAATTGTAATGTTAAGTCGCAGTAGTCAGTTTTATTAAAAAAGTTTTGGAGTTTCTGAAGGAAGAAAACTCCCCAATTGTCCACTTTAACAGACTTTATTTCACCCATTTTATGGGTTATATATGAAAATAAATTTCACGATATACAATTTACAACTTTCCAAGTGTTAACTGTACTCCAGTTGATCACTTTATATTAAAACACAAAAAAATAAATAAATAAATTTATTAGTAAAAATTTTCTTAATAGAAGAGTGCAGTAATAAAATAAGCGCTCTGTGAAATAAGCTTTCTTAAACTTTTATATATGAAAGCTAAGATCCGACCCTCCGCGTTGCATTTGAACTGAACTATGCTAAACTAGGATATAAATTTTTTGCACTGACACGTACCGTACAAAAAGTTCAATAAAAGCGCGTAAACTTTGTTTATAAAATTAAAAAAACAAAACATCAATTATCCATCGGTTTAAACAAAATTATTTTATTTAACTTTTTATTTAGTTATTTAATATATGTTTTTAAATGCAACCCAACGTGTTGCCGCGTCAACTTAAATATTTTTAATTAAAACTCTTTGATCACAAATTTCACACACGATTATTCACATAATAAATTTTATTAATAATAAAGCTTACATACGTTGATAAGATGCCAATTGAAAATTAATTATTTTTTGGTGAAATTGAAAAACACAAACTCTCTCAATACGAGCCCAACAACAATGAACGTAGGTAAACTAATATTTCCCATTCATTTGTAAATTTCCCAAAATGGGCGCCATATAAATATGGCGTCCCATTTGATGAATAAAATTTCCCTAAATATTATTTGAAAATAAAAATGTTTGATTTTTATTTAATTTTACTAACTGATATAGGGCGCTATTATTATATGTGCCAACATACAAAAACACTAAATATTCAAAAAGAGTTAGCTATAAAGTAAAAGATTTAATTATCTTAAAATAATTCAAAATAATAAAACAGTATAATTTGAGAAAATTCTTTAAGTGTTTTGATCTTAAGCCTACGTCCAATATATAGACAATTATTATAGAAACAAATTAATTATAATAAATTACTTATTTTAATTTATTAATTATATGTATGTTATATAAATTTATAGTTAAATAAAATTATATGTATTTAATAACATATAATTAATATCTATCATAGGTCTATATCTATCATTGACACATTAAAAATATAAAATTTATTTAACTTAAATATTTAAGATGTGGACATTTTAGTCGAATGTATTCTACCAAATTTATTTTAAAAAGTTGAAAATTAATTAATTTGTTTGATTTTGGTTACAACGTATGTCTGCCAGTGTTGTTGATATCAGAAAAATTACGTTGAAGACAAATATTTATAATATTTAGAGAAAAACACTACTTGATACACACAAAATAAATTACCTTTTTTACCGCATGTGTTAGTGGATTAGCTAACCAACTTTTCATAATGAAAATACTTTACAATAAAAATGTTTCTCACAAAGCTTATATATTTCGTTAAAATAAAAGCTTTTAAGCTTTGGGTGTGTATACTGTTGACTTGCACAAAAAGCTTTGGTCTAAAAATAAAGTGCTTTCAATCAATAAAAGTACAGTTTCGACATCAAAAGTTTTAATATTTTACATTAGTCACAACTTTTGTTTTGTGGGTAAGCTTTTTATTATGCAACCTCAATGTAAAAACATATGCATTATTTCTAATTAGTTTTAATTAAAAATTTTATTTGTAATACACATGTTTCAATATATATGTTTAAAAAGAAACAGTTCATTTTGTTAAAAGAGCTTATCTGATATATAAAATTTAGTTAATATTTTATATGTGTTTAAACGTATGTAGTATTTTTCGGCTTTGCACGCTTTCATTTCTCATATTTCGTTTGTAAAACATCAATTTACAACACTATTTTTTTAATTCTCGTGTGTCCTACTTTTCATCGTTTGCTTTTAATTTTTGTTGTTAGTATTCTTTTTTAAATAAACATTAGAAATGTCATTTTCTGCTAAAGTAAATTATTTTTTTAAACAAAAATCTGTTAAGTACGGAATACCTTTTTTACTATGTATAGTTGGCGGATCATTTGGACTTCAGGAATTTGCAAAATTGAGGTAGTATCTAAGACAATTTGTAATTATAATCTTTATACAATCTATACATTTATACACTTATACAACAGGTACCAATTCTCAAAAACAAAACAGGTAACACCCGAAGACATGAAAAAATATGGAGTTACTATGAAAAAATCTGAAGAAGTGACCTTAGAAAATGAGTTTGAAAAAATACAAACTATTAATATTGATGAATGGGAAAATAAACGTGGACCTAGACCGTGGGAGGAAATTGATTTAGCGAAGTAAAACTCGGCAACTTAAATCATATTTTATTCTTTTTACATATATGTGGAAGTAAAATATTCGTATGTTTAGGTTCAGATAAAATTATTTTGTAAATTTGGCTGTGAAGTATGCTTTGTACATAATTAGTAAATAAAAAAATTTTCTTTAATTTTCTTAAACAGCATTGAAGTCATTTGAGCCTCCTGATTTCTCTTCTGTTTAATTATAATAGTATTTAGTTTAAAAGCAGGTAATATAAAAATGTTTACTTTTTTATTTATTTGAAAGACATTTCATTTTTACACACAAACATGAGTATTAGTTACAATGTGGAAGTTATATGTTTCATACATATATACGTAGACCACACCAGTGTGATAGACAAAAAAAAAATATTGCGATTATTTTAAAATAATAGAATATGTATTACATGCCAATATTTAAACTGTTTAAATTTAAGCAGCGTATCATAGATAAATGTGAACTTTTTATAAAAAAGTTTTCGTGGTTGAATTTAATATGCTTTGGAACTGCTTTAAATAATTTTCTGTGCATGGTAGGTCTGCTGGTTATTTTTGGCAGTAAAATTTTTTATTTATTTTGAATCAAATGTTTCAATTAACAATTATTTCAAATTTCTTTAAGCATAATAATAACAACTGAAACAACTGATTTAAGCCATGAAAATTTAAGCATGCCGTTTAGGCAACTGCTTATTCAAATTTTTGCAAATTTATGTTGTATTTATTAATCGATTTCACAAGTACTTTAACTCTGCATTTACAAATCCTAAAAGTCATTAAAATATTTTCATATTGAATTTTATAAAAGATGACAAATATTGCCGCCAATTTGTAGAGTTAGAATTCTTGGGGCAATGTTAATGAAATGCAAATATATTGATGAATCTTAAGCTAGTATTACACATTATACTTAATGCTGTCTTGTATCTGTATCCTTTATTCTAAAGGGTACCGTGCTTCGTGCACACACATTTGTATTGTGTACGTTTTGTTGTTGAATTTGAATTTTGCTTATTTTATTTTCATATTCAAAAATAATTGCTAGAAAATAGTCACAGCAATTCAAACCCTGTTGCTAACTTACTTAATAAATGAATACTATTCTTTCACATATTATGTTCACATATATATATTAATTGTGAATTTGTACTAAAAACGTACATGCTTCATAATTAAAGCAGGTTTGTAGGAATGTTTAACTTTTAACTTCTTCACATACTATATTTATATTTTTACAAGGACAAGGTACAAGAGCTTCTTAGGTATACAGCTAGAATAATTTTATAATATATTATTTATTGTTTTAATGATCAAATGTTTCTACTGATTATTTTTATTTTTGAAACGAGCCAATTAATCAGTTGTATAAATAATATTTTCACCAATAAAAATTATAAAAATATAATATTAATTATAATATAAAATTATAGTCAAATATTGCGTGAATATTTATTTATACAATGATTTAATTGTTCGTTTCAAAAATGTAAAAATAATCATAGAAACATTTGATCATTAAAACAATAAATAATATTTTATAAAAATTAATTCTGCTGTTATTACTAAGAAGCTCTATGTACCTTGTTCCTTGTGAAAATATAAATATAGTATATATATATATATATACTTTATATATATATATATATATATATTATATAATATATATATATATATATATATATATAGGAATTATATATTTATTGTATGTGATATATTGTAAATCTTTTTGTCTTTTTGAACACTTGAGCACAGAATTGTATATGCGTCAAATTGGTGCTTTAAATCTTAGTTCTGCAAATAAAATTAAGAAAATCATGTGAGATAAATAAATGAAACAGTGGCGTAAGCTATTATGGATTTGGAAAAATGCGATAATAATGACTTCTTTAGTTGAAAACAGTTATTTCAGTGACCCAAGCCGTTTAACTGAGATTACTACCGGCGTAGTTAATGGCATAGCAGGGTTTATAATGCAATTGTATTTAATCTTAAAATGTAATGACTGCAAAAAACACTAAGATGGTGAAAAAGTGAGCAGTTCCATTCTTTCTTATTAATTGAAGGATCCTTAAAAAACTGTTTGTTACTGTACTTAATGTCATGTAAGCAATATTCATGTAAAATTAATACGTAGTTTTATTAGCGCCTGATATTGAATACGGACTTAATTAAATATTTTTGTATTTGTGTTAAACAGTCCTTATTAAAAAATTACATCGATTTTGGTATAAATATATTTTTAATCTTAGTGGTGAATACACAAATGTTTTAATTAAGAACACAATTATGTTACATTCATTGTATACAT